GTTTTAGAGCCCTTTAATTGGCAGAATCTGATATTAATTTAGTTCTTACAAAAAATGGGTCCCAACATGGTTTGTGTGGCGTTGCCATAGTGTGACGTCATAGGCACAGATCCCCTGTCCTCTTGTTTGGAAATGGAAATATGGTCACCCTACATTAAACAAACTGTCCACCCGGGCTTTTGCTCTGCACAGAGACGCTTCGCTGCCTACGACTGAACGTCAGTTGAGAGTCAGTCTCATGCAGACTGACCAATGAAGAGAGGGCCTCAAGTTAAGACCCTCTCCTCATTGGTCAGTCCACACGAGGTGGGTCAAAGGTTACTCTGGGCGGGTTACGTGTTGTCAGGCATTCAAGTATTGAGTATATTTACTGCATATCACAGTAAAATATTCTGTATGTGACCACATTATGGTGATCCTTGGGTCGTGATGATGGAGCCCTTGAATATTGTTGCCCAGGGTACAACAAAGTGTTAATCTGGCCCTGGTTCCGCCGTCACATTCCCGCAGAAACTGGTTGATCACACCGGGGCCAGACTACTAACATGTGGTTTTACAACCACAATGTCCTCAGAAGCAAAAACGCTTTTAAAAGGGAGGGAGGAGTCCTAACTGTTGCTGCAGGCGTGTTGTGTGAGAGTGCAGTTATATACTGGTTAATATATTTTTGGGTTCAGTTGCTTTCATGTGGCCTAATGTGAGTCTATTTGGGATCATTGGAATGATCAGCAGCATTTCTTGATGTGACTTTATGGCAGTTGCCCAGGGCATCATCGCAAGGAGGATGGCATTCATTTACTTTTGTTTTATTTGGTATTTTTTCAGTCAGTTTTGGAAATAGTGATCAATTTTGATTAATTCACAGCCTATGTTTAATTACATTTAAAATAAATGTCAACAGATGAGATCAAACAAAACAGATGAGAATTGCCCTTAAGCTGTTTAACTTGGACCAAGCATTTTAGGTCACAGATAGATGTAGCTTAGGGTCTCTGTCTATACACCTTATAAGACAATTTAGGTGATGGCATGTTGTTTTTCTGCTATTGAAGTGTTTTCTAATAATGTTGTGTTAAATAAAGTGAAGGAAGGAGAGAAATAACGTTTCCCTAGCAGTTTTTAAAAATTTCCCCATGTAATCCGATTAATCGATTAATCGTGTCGAGACCCCATCCGATTAATCGATTATCCAAATAATCGTTTGTTGCAGCCCTAATGGTAGCCCTGCAACCCTTTTCTGTTTGCAGTTCAGCGGTCAGGTACGTATCAGCGAGTTACACGGGTTAATGCAATCTGGGACTGAAAGTGGGCAGAAGACACGTGGAGAATCTCAAATTTTAGGCTCCATCTGATGGAAAAGCTGCAAACTCATTAAGCTGTTGCAGTCCTTGTCAAATTTATGATTTAAAGGAGATGTGTTATGACTTATTCTTTACTTATAATAGATCTATAATTGATACAAAATGAAATTATTTGCATACAATTCCTCATACATGAAGCAATTTCAGCAGTTTTAATTTTCATATTTTCAGAACCTTCCAGAATGAGCCATTTCAGGGCACGGTCACAAAAACAAGCTGGAACGGGCCACGCCCACCCAGCTCCTGATTGGCTGCTATAAGCAGAGAAGCCCTGACATGCAGGAGGACCTCAGAGCACAGCTGTTGCTCCTCTTTTACAGCTGAAAGGTGGTTAGACGAAAATTTCCTATTTGTGACATCACAAACGATGACTTTTTGAAATAGCTCATTTTTTTCACATTTGGAGTGTTTACGGAGGCAGTAGAGACCTACACAGCAGCACAAAGGGATGCAAAAGTTGTGTTGCATCATATGTCCCCTGTATGACCAGTAAAATAGCTGAACTGAACAAGCTGCTTACCGTCTTTGTTTTTGTGGATTTTTTTTATTCACATCCAAATGCAAATTGGTACAAAAAATCTGTCTGAGTCACAGGATTAAAAGAAAAATAAGTGTGGTTCCCAGGAGCAAAATCTGAAAGGAACCGTGGGACTTGAAGTGATCTCCACTTTTCATCAGTGTACTATTCAAGCTGACCATAGAAAGCTCACAGTGGAAGTCAGCATTCTGGGCCGGGATCCTGCCGGGCTCCCAGCATCACACTGAGACAAGACACAGTGATGTTTCCGTGTGGAGCGTGGCCGCGGAGCTGCACGATAATCAGCCTCACGGCTGTCTGAGCAGCCTCCCTTCCACAGGGGAAGAAACACACCTCTTATCTGCAAGAGTCCAAACTGTGAGATGACTTTAAAGTTTAAAATCATATATTTGTAGCAGAAACTGCAGCAACATTGACCAGCACCATCATTCTTTACTTTCAACACTTAAAAGCTAGTGAGAGGCATAGAATAGAATAGAATTCAACTTTGTTGTCATTGCACATGTACAGGTACAGGGCAACGAAATAGATGTGTAAGAATATTACAGAAATGGATCTATTATGTATGTTATAATGTACACGGTATGAAGTATGTTATGAATATTCTATGACTATAAGTATGTACAGGCTGTAGTTAATACAAGCAGTCCATGAGTTTAGCGTGGGTCATATGTCAGGAGTCCGGTCATGTGGGTCCAGTCGAAGTTTCAGCTCTTTATTAATGATTTTCTTGTGTTTTAGAAGGTGTAGCTCACGGGAGGAGCAGAGGAGCATGCTCTTCATCACGGAGATGAAGGGAAACTCCTCCACAGGAGCCAGCATACATCTGCTCACCCGCAGCACAACAAACGCCACGGTGATAAAGTTCCATCGAAATCAGCTCAGGGCAGCGCAAAAAACAAAAAAGGTGCTTGGAAGGTTTCATGGGATGCAAAGCTCGCTCAATTCTGACTTTGAAACTTTTAAAATACTAAGAGAAAAAAACCCCAACATAATCAATTCAATTCAAGTTTATTTATATAGCGCCAAATCACGACAAGAGTTGGCTCAAGGCACGTCACATAATAAACATTCCAATACAGGTCAGGGGCCTCGTTTATCAAGCTTGTTTACGCCCAAAACGGGTCAGAAAACTGCGTAAGCAACTTTCCACGCAAACTTTGGGATTTATGCAAGAAAACTTAGTGGAAAGGTGTGCGCAACTTAAGTTGACTAAGGACCTGGCTTACGCTCATTTTGGACATGGAGAGCACCTGCAGTGCTGCTGCTGAGGAGGATACAATTATGAAATCCAGCAGCATTATCACTTGTACCGCTTCGTTTTCACACAGAACAAGACCCCCCACATGCACATGCACGCACACACACACACACACACACACACACACACACACACACACACAGCCTGAAGCGCAGAATAATGAATGCAGAATATCAGCAGGGGGGCAGATTGAGACAGAATGTCATGCGTCTGTGACCGTGTGTGTCCTGTCACTGTGACCCGATTGATCATGCACCCTGGCTACTTGTACAGGAGAGATCTCTGTTTGGGTGACTGGTTAGCGCACGTGACTTTCACTCGGGGGTCTCGGGATTGAATCCCAATCGGACCATTTTTTTTTATATCCACCACAGATCTCTCTGAAGAACTCAGCATTGACGGATTCAGCAACGCTGTGCCACTCCGTGGATTTTCTCTTGTTTGTTTTGCAAAAGCACTTCCTTGCATTTCTCCACCTCACCCGCAGGTACCTCAATTTCTGCTTCTGTGAAATAGCGCTTCCTTGATCTGCCTTGATCTACGGTCACCATCATCATTGGTGGAGCGCTGCAACAGCCGGCTTATGTATATGCATGAGATCCACAAGGCACTTTGCATTGACGATTTATGGCAGTAAGTGGGCGTGGTGAGGGCGGGATGTGACTAAAACGCAGCTGAGAAACATTCTCGTTAGTCTCTGATTCATGAAGCGGAGATTGCGTGCAGCTGTGCGTCCTCCATGTTTGATAGATCACAAACCTACTTGGCGTAAGTACTTTTTTTGCAGAGCTTAAGTACGGTTTTAGTAAGGATTCTACGCAATGTTTGATAAATGAGACCCCAGGTCACTAAGCCAATCAGAAAAAGGTTTCCTATATAAGGAACCCAGCAAATTGCATCAAGTCACTGACTTTACAGCAATCCTCATACTAAGCAAGCATTTAGCGACAGTGGAGAGGAAAACTCTCTTTTAACAGGAAGAAACCTCCAGAGGATCCTGGCTCAGTATAAGCAGCCATCCTCCACAACTCACTGGGGATCGAGACAACAGAGCACACGCACACACTCACACACGCACTCGCACGCACGCGCGCACACACACACACACAAACCAAGTAATGTTTCTATAGTTACATTGTGATTTCTTAGTAAATATTCTATTTGGTGAGAGATAAACTTTAATGTATTTATCCTAGTGGATCTATAAATAAACGGGTAAACTAGTAGTAGCACATCCAAAGTCAAAGAAAGTAAAATGTTATTATTAGGAGAGGGAGAATGAGGAAATGGTTAGCAGCAGCAGTGGCGGCTGGTGAAAAATATTTTTGGTGGGGCTGTGCTATTTTTTATTTTTAAACAAACTTGTGCTTTCTGAGCTTTGTGCACAGCTTCACTATTTCCTGAATTAAGCACAGCTTTTTTATTTCCTGTCTTACATTATTGGACAAACTGATTAATCCAGGTGTGTCTGACTATTGGCAAACTGCCTTGCAGACCAAGGTTGAAAAACACTGCATTAAATTGCACATAAAATATCACGACCATAAATGGTAAATAGGCAATGCAAGAGGCAAGTAACAAAAACATTTTGTTTAATTTCAACATTTGAGTGAACACGAAAAATTATGAGCAGGTCACTGTTACAGTAATGGTAGTAAACACTACTTAGACAAAATGCCAGAAATTTACACTGTTAAATATTTCTGGAGTGTTGTGCCAAGGTCAACTTTATACAAAGATCAAGTGGATGCATTTGTGTGTGTGTGTGTGTGTGTGTGTGTGTGTGTGTGTGTGTGTGTGTGTGTGTGTGTGTGTGTGTGTGTGTGTGTGTGTGTGTTACCTCATTTGTACAGAAATTTTGCCCTTCTGTCCTTCTGAGTGGCAAAGCTCTCGATGAGCTTTTTATTGAAGTCAGGAATGTTTGTGACAAGCTTTTTTTCCATGGAGAGCATGACAAGAGCATTCAGCCCATCCTGTGTCATGGTGTTCCTCAAGGAAAGTCTTAATCCTCTTTAAAGTAGATACATAAAAAACAACAGATAAGTACATAGGAAACACTTTCATAGGAAATAATGTCATCAGTATCCTCTTACAAATGTCATATTTCCCGTTTTTTGGGACAATAAAACATTTCTGATTCTGAATCAGATGTTTTTACATTTGAGGTAAAAACATCTAAATGAGAATCAGAAATGTTTAATTGTCCCAAAAGCTGGGAAATTTGTTTGCTGCAGCAGAAGTGTAACAAGTAAAATGGAATCAGATTGATGTATGTACAAATTTACATGAAATACACATTTACGTGATTAAATATGTATAATAAGTATGTGTGTTGAAATTAGTTTTTACAGTTATTGCACATTAAACATGTTATCAAACAAATGTCCCGGTTTGTGGGACAACCAAGGATTTCTGATTCTGATTGTCTTGTTCACAGAAATGTAATGTACAGCTTACCTCTGCACCCAGCTGCTGTTGTTCCCTGCATGGCAACGTTAGCTCTGCTGCCTAGCATGGCTAGCTTCACCGTGTTGTTGTCCATGTGTGCCCGGGATGACTCGTGTTTCTTCACCTTCTCAGAAAAATGTTTCATGTCTGTAACTCCTGACTCATCCATGCCTTATCTGTCCAAGTCGTTTTGAATAACAAACACGGAAAGCAAAATAACGCATTAGCGTGATTGCATCCAGCTAGCCAAGCCTTCCCAGAAGCCTCGTGTGTACAGTTTACCTCTCTCCTTGTCCTGCTGGCTTATCTTTACGTCGGGCTGATCTGGTCCAAGCTCTTTGACATTAAGTTTTTCCACCATAGTTCTCCTCTCGAACGGATGCTGGAGAAGAGACCGAACTGAATTCAGTGGCTGCTGAGATCCGGTATCCATGCTGGTTGTAGTCACCGGCGGCGTCCATGTTACATCTGCGTCACGACCAAAAAACGACTCTGCCGAGTTCTACCGAACACCAACGAATCCTTTGGCGGTAGCTCCATCGCCCATCATGCTTCTGAAACGTTCTGAAACAACGTCGACGCTGACATTCCCATTCCTACCCTTTGATATTCTTGTCAGCAATTGGACAGCTGGTCTCGTCCTGTTTGGGCGATTGAAAAACAGCACGGGAAAACTGAGAGGGCGGCGCCCTGTCGCCCTCTACTGGCCAGCCGCCACTGAGCAGCAGTGTTCAAGTCGATGGCCCCCTCCATGAGGGCACCACAGCTCAGCAGAACATTGCTGTAATCCTTTCTAAACAAAATCAAAATGTGGAGTAAAAAGTGAAACGAACAGCCAGAGGAAGCACACGTGCTCCTAAATCTGACTGATAAGTATCTGGGTGTGTTTTTGCTGAGTAAACAAAATAAAAACAGACATATGGAATTTACTCCCACAGCAGAACTTTAAAAACTTTATGAATTCCTTCAAATTAAAAGTCTGAAACATTTATACCTATTTCATAATATGAATTTGATTTTATTAGTGTGCAAACATTTATGCACACTAATTAATAATTGAATGAAACATGCTTACTTAAAACATAAAGTCACAAAATAAGTTGTTGTCCAACATTTATAACTTATGAAAACTGTATATATATATATATATATATATATATATATATATATATATATATATATATATATATATATATATACTTATATATATATATATATATATATATATATATATAAGTATATAAGTATATATATATATATATATATATATATATATATATAAGTATATATATACTTTACTTCTCAGCACAAAAAACATGAATCATATTTTAGTTTTCCCCACATTTGAAGTGACAGCTAACCCAAACATCCAGGTTTCTTTTACCCTCCCACTGTCCATAATGGGTGTGACCCCACGAGGAAAGTTATCCCTTGGGTCCACGTGGCAGGGGTGAGGAGTGAGCACCACCTCACCCCTGCCACGTGGACCTCAAGGGATAAACCATCAATCCTGCTCAATGGTCAACTTTCCTCGTGGGGTAAAGACAGTGGGAGGGTTAAATTCATTAAGTTTTCATTTCGCCAAAATTAAAAATCAGTTAGAGAATGTTAATTTATGTTTTAATTGGAGCTTTTTCTACATTTCAAATGTGTATTGATGTTTTATTTTCTTTGTTAAGATTTTGCCATAAGAACATTCCCCATTGTGACCAGTTTCTGAGATGTCCAGCCATATTTGTCTTCATCAGTTTTTTCAATTATGAAATATATTTGTTTTTCCTTAAAAAAATATTCAACTTGGAATAGAAAATGCAGAAAGAACGAAGTCCTGAGCTGCTTTATTACAGAATCTCTGAAGAACATCAAAGATCCTCTCTAATCTGCAGGTCCATCTGAGCTGTTTGTGAGGGTTCTGAGACCATTTCTGGAGTTTTATCACCTCTAGGAAGCAGTGCAGCCTTCATTGCTAGTCTGGATTAGATCTGCAGCATTTATTCCTAATCTGATGTGACTAACGTCATAAACTGGAGAGATGCAAACGGTCGGCTCCTTACTCTGCTCTCGAGTACTTTCTAATTTTACATTTATGCCAAAAAAAAAGAAAGAGTTCACGATACACCCCTGGATAAGCCCAGTTTTCCTCAAACATTCCTTTAGTCAGAATAAACAGACTGGCTTTAAACCGAATAAAAAGCTGCATGACTCCACTTACGTACAGTAAATTAGATTTGGACAAACTTTCCCTGAGTTTGTGAGATTCTGTGCAACACGAACGAACCGAAAGGTCACTGTGAGGTTATAACTGAGGTGATCTCTGAGTGAACATCACCCCTATGAACCAGCATGCCCACAGCTCATTCCTTCTCTCCGACCACAACACGAAGTCTCCCCGTGCATGACTACAGCAGCGAATCCACTATGAGCTGCTTTCATTTCCCCAGAAATAGACCTTCTCGGTCTTTTACGAATGAAACAGTCTGTTTATTAATGAATGAAATACAGGCGCTGGAACACATCAGGTGATTTAGTGTATAGTGTCTCCATCCAGGCAGAACTAAATCTAACTTGCAATCACTGCAGATTAATCTGGATATCATTATCCTCACAGCAGGATGGAATTTGTTTTTGTTTAAATATCAGAGCCATATCCATCTTCTGAACGTTAGCTCACCTGACCTAAATGCTGAAACGCCTTCTAAGAAGAGAAAGTTCATAAATCCCAAAGGAGCTCTAATAATTAGATGAATCTGCACCCAACGGTGACTTCCTTCGTCATTTTGTCCTGGTGAGTTTAACGAGTGATATGTCTGCTTTTAATGTGGCGGTGGAAAACAGGCATGATTAATCTACACAACCACAACGCCGACGACATCCTCAGGACCTGTCATCTTTACTGTTAAGGAGCTCTTTAGCATCAGTGTGTGTGTGTGTGTGTGTGTGTGTGTGTGTGTGTGTGTGTGTGTGTGTGTGTGTGTGTGTGTGTGTGTGTGTGTGTGTGTGTGTGTGTGTGTGTGTGTGTGTGTGTGTGTGTGTGTGTGTGTGTGTGTGTGTGTGTGTGTGTGTGTGTGTGTGTGTGTGTGTGTGTGTGTGTGTGTGTGTGTGTGTGTGTGTGTGTGTGTGTGTGTGTGTGTGTGTGTGTGTGTGTGTGTGTGTGTGTGTGTGTGTGTGTGTGTGTGTGTGTGTGTGTGTGTGTGTGTGTGTGTGTGTGTGTGTGTGTGTGTGTGTGTGTGTGTGTGTGTGTGTGTGTGTGTGTGTGTGTGTGTGTGTGTGTGTGTGTGTGTGTGTGTGTGTGTGTGTGTGTGTGTGTGTGTGTGTGTGTGTGTGTGTGTGTGTGTGTGTGTGTGTGTGTGTGTGTGTGTGTGTGTGTGTGTGTGTGTGTGTGTGTGTGTGTGTGTGTGTGTGTGTGTGTGTGTGTGTGTGTGTGTGTGTGTGTGTGTGTGTGTGTGTGTGTGTGTGTGTGTGTGTGTGTGTGTGTGTGTGTGTGTGTGTGTGTGTGTGTGTGTGTGTGTGTGTGTGTGTGTGTGTGTGTGTGTGTGTGTGTGTGTGTGTGTGTGTGTGTGTGTGTGTGTGTGTGTGTGTGTGTGTGTGTGTGTGTGTGTGTGTGTGTGTGTGTGTGTGTGTGTGTGTGTGTGTGTGTGTGTGTGTGTGTGTGTGTGTGTGTGTGTGTGTGTGTGTGTGTGTGTGTGTGTGTGTGTGTGTGTGTGTGTGTGTGTGTGTGTGTGTGTGTGTGTGTGTGTGTGTGTGTGTGTGTGTGTGTGTGTGTGTGTGTGTGTGTGTGTGTGTGTGTGTGTGTGTGTGTGTGTGTGTGTGTGTGTGTGTGTGTGTGTGTGTGTGTGTGTGTGTGTGTGTGTGTGTGTGTGTGTGTGTGTGTGTGTGTGTGTGTGTGTGTGTGTGTGTGTGTGTGTGTGTGTGTGTGTGTTTGATTGTTTGTCCTGTGTTGGCCTGCGATGGACTGGCAACCTGTGCAGGGTGTACCCCGCCTGTTTGCCCGAAGGCTGCTAGGCACCGGCCCGCTGCAACCCTGTGAGGATAAACGGATGAAGACAATGGATGGATGATTTTGTGGATCTTTTCATGACCCCACCCCCCACCCCCACCCACCCCACCCCACCTCACCTGGTGCTTCAGAATGAAGTACCAACTTCATCCCGGGATCCAGTGCTTTAGGGCACGATGGTGATTATTTCAAGCTGGTTCAAAAGAATAAACTAAATTTATATTTAGACTGCAGAACAGATGTTTCTAATTTCTTATTTAATCAACTGTGGAAAATTGCTTTTGCCAAATTGATTAAAATACCTCAATGAGTAGTTATTTTCCAGCATGCACCTGCTCTCACAGGTATGTCCAGGGAAGAAATAAAAATCTCATGTTTGATGTAATTTATGAGTCACAGGTTTTCAGAAACGTGATCAGCAGTTTATTACTTTTCTGTGTTTGGTCAGAATGAAGTAAAACATATTTAATTCCTGAGCTTGAAATTTAAAATAAGTGGGGAAATGAGTCGTTAAACAAAAGACTGGCATGGGATGAACAGTAACTCTGACTCATGACATCAGCAAAGTGAAAATAAAAAATGTCCCGAGACAAGTTTTCACATGTCTACCCCTTAATTTAGTTTCTCAAGTTCCATGTACTTGGTCACGGTAATTACATAGTAATTTACAGTGTATTACTACGTAATTAAAACTAATTTTAGTGGGTGACTCTACTGTAACTTACTATGTAATTACCAGTTTAGTACATTGCAATTAGGAAATTAAAAGAAAGGTCTACCCAAAGATATTTCTTTTGTTAAACTGCCAATAAATTAGCTTTTGTATTGATGCTTTAAAATCAATCATAATTTAGCTTTTTAGAAACCTAAAAGTATTCCAAACATTATACGCCATTGACATATTGATAGCCCAGATCTTAACTTTGTCATATTTACTACGATCTTTTAAAGAGGAGGTGCACTGAGAAACGGTGCAACTCATTCGTTTTGAAACACGCATGCTGCACGCGAAACAGCCTTCTCCCGCCATTTCCTGCATTAGACGCCAACAAAAAAAGACGGTGAGCAACTCGGGTCAAAAAGCCAGAAAGATCTACATCGCATTGTAGAATCTGCAGTCGCGGGCTCACCCACCATTACTTGCGATCGCAGAGGGCTGCTGTTGGTTCAGTCGGTCCGTGAGAGAGCAGAGCTCGGCTAGTGGAGCTAACCATTAGCATTAGCAATAGCAACAGCACAACATGGCCGAACACTTTCAGGTTTGTGATATCTGTGGAGATGAAACATTGTTTTCTTTCCTCCAAACGGAGGCAGTGGAAGAGTCGCGTTGCTGTTAGCCAATCAGAAAAATGTTTGCATATCATGAACATTAATGAGCAAGACCCCAAATCCTACCAGCTTCCTGAAACAGGAGCGCCAGAGCGTTTTATCCACAGAAAGCAACTCACAAGGCATTCATTCATACTAAAGACCACAGCGAATGAATTGTAAACCTAGAATATTCCTTTTTTAACCCTCAAGGTGTTCCTGCTCTGACGAGTATTTTGTTTTGAGAACAGTAGCCACCACCAAGCGAGGGAGCCCAACCGTTTTCACATTTCAATCCCTCACTCAGCCAGCGATTCCCGCTGTTTGCTCTGTAGGATGACGGTGACGGTGAGGGTGAACATGATGACAGCCAGACCGATGGTGGTCCTGGCATAGGTGGTGAGCCTGATGATGATGATGATCACCCCACAACAGCTACGAATGACAGCGGCGAGCCTTTCACGGGCAGAGGGGAGCCGGCCACATCAGGCTGGCGGCGGGGGGTCTTGGCTGACATCAGCGGGATGCGTGAGATCACATTAAGTGGAATGAATGTGATTGGGCCGCAGGCTTATAATCAGCACATAAACCTCTGACTGTTTCTGGATTACATCGTGAAGGGCATCGACGAGGGGAAGCCCCCCCCTCAAATAAATAAATAAATAAATAAATTACCTGCAATTTACTGGC